CCAGGCAGGGAGGAGATTTTATGGCATTTCTTTCTTTCTTGTGTTGGTAGAAACGGTCTTTGGTGGATTCTGAGACAGCCGGAGGAGGGGATGGACTTAGGTTAACAAACAACTATTTTTTTTCTTTTTAACAAGTAACACATTCGTGCTAGTCAGTTTAGGAAATGCAGATAATTAGAAAAAAATCAACACCATCCGTAGCCTAACCTCCCAGACATGACCAGAGGCCTTTGGGGTCTCTCGTTGGACCTGAATCATGAGCCCTTAAGCGGGGGGATGAATCCGCAGCGCAACATTTCTGCTGCATGGTGGTGGTTTTAACCCACGGATCTTGGCAGCTGTCCCTGGTTTGGGGGCCGAAGGCGAGGTGAGGTGTGACGAGAACGAGCTTTTGTTTTTGTTTCTGATTTTTGAGAACTTGGATGAAGTTGGAACTCCAATCAGATTAATGAGCAGTGCTAAGGGAACTCCAATCAGATTAATGAGCAGTGCTAAGAAGCATATTGATCCTCCCCCCAAACGGACTGGTTGTCATTTTTGATATTTTTTAAGAGTACAAACTTTTGTTTTCCAGGAAATTGGCATTTTTGGTAGTCAAACTGAATATTCTAATGTTGTTGTTTTTTTTTCAATATTTTTATTTCTTTCACAACGTAGTTTCTCAACCTCAGCCCTCTTGATGCGTGGGCCAGATAGTTCTTTGCTGTGGGATCATCCTGAGCGCTGCAGGTTGTCCAACGAGATCCTTGGCCTCCACCCACGAGATGCCAGCAGAAATCTCTGGCACCCCACCCCCCCACAACAACCAAAAAATCGTCTACAGATGAGTGTCCCTGGGGAACAAAATCATTAGCTGTAGAGAAACCAAACCACTGTTCTAGAAAGTTCTCAGAAACAGCACCCTTTTATCTGCCCAAGCATCCACAGAGCCTAAACTACAGTTTACGCTATGGAATTAAATGTGATGGTGTTTTTTAAAGGTTCCTACTTAATAAAATAGTTAATTAATCAAGAGGGCTAGCAATAATAATATAGCTAATGTTATATTCCATGTGGTTGGAGTTTGTGTGTACAAACTGACATTTTAACATCCATTGCATTTAATTACAATTAGCATTGCATTACATTTGCTCTTGTTACTAATTTTATTTAATAAAATAGGGGTTTTGGGGGAAATTAAAGCTTTTTATTCTTTTTTTTTTTTTTAACAACCAGTTTCCTGACTGAGGGATACTATTCCATATCAGATATAAAGAGAGCTTTCCCAACAGACTCAAGAAACGGTTGTTGATGAATAGAGAAAGCTCTCGACGAATTTGCCCCAGCATGTCCCAGATAGGGGTACCCTGCAAGGAACAATGGCTGTCTTTGAGACAGTTCAGAAATAGGTATTTTATTCATTGAATGGCCAACCAATTTTTATGAAAGTGTACCACGTGCAGAGAGTTTATAGTGGGACAATTCCTAATTTCCTACAAATGGAGAGGTGACCTTTGAAGGATGAGGAAGTTTTTTGTTCCCGGACTTGTCGGGGAAAATCCATAAATGAGAGCACATTTAATACAATGGGACAAATAGGATTTGTCTGGCAGAGTCTCATCTGGCCAAACGCAATAAGTCATCTTTAGTGTACCGTGTCTGTGTTCTTTGTGCGTGCGCGCACACACTTACATGTGCAAACCAGAGGCGTGGGCTATTTCGTTTATTATTTCCTGCTTTTCTCCAGAAACAAAATTGAGGTGAGGATCCACAAAGTGTCTTTGTCTATGTCGCCATAGGAATCAACCCACCCATCTTGAAAGAGGAAGAGAAGAATGAATGCATTACCTTCCTTCTCCAGTCACAGAAGTCATGCATTATAAAAATAGCATGTATCTTATTGCGTGTATCTTATGGAGCGCAGAAAAGTATACAAAAATCAGTATCTGTCACCCAAGACGATTACTATGAAAAGGTTGGTATATTTCCTGCTAGATTCCTTTTTTTGATTTGTGTGTACATACGCATTTTTAACCAAATGAAGACTGTACTTTTTTAAAAAATTTTTTTATTGTTATGTTAATCACCATATATTACATAATTTGTTTTGGTGTAGTGTTCCATGATTCATTGTTTGTTCATAACACCCAGTACTTTTTCAGAGTTTTCAGTTCCATTTCACTCTCTGTTGTATCCTGAGCCTTTCCCCCAGATAACATAATGTGTAGGGAATAATCATTGCCGGTGACTGAGGCACACAAACAAGGCTGCCGTGGATGGTTGTGCGAGTTGTGTAATGAGCAAGTCTAGGGGCCGCGATGTAAACGGTCCTGCCTGAAGGGAGGTGCTGCTAATTCTAGACACTTTCAAAAACATACCTACGTAGAGGGGCGCCTGGGTGGCTCAGTTGGTTAAGCGACTGCCTTCGGCTCAGGTCATGATCCTGGAGTCCCGGGATCGAGTCCCACATCGGGCTCCCTGCTCAGCAGGAAGTCTGCTTCTCCCTCTGACCCTCTTCCCTCTTGTGCTGTTTCTCATTCTCTCCCTCTCAAATAAATAAATAAAATCTTTAAAAAAAAAAAACATACCTACGTAGATACTGGTTGCTCCCAGGGGGTGTGAGAGCAGGACTGACTGCTCACAGGAATTTTGGGGGCAATGAAAGTATTCTAAATGGGGCTGGGGATGTGTCTGCACAATCATCAAAATGTACTAAATTAAGCTCATTGAACTACACACCTACAATAGATGAATGTCATAGTATCTTAATTATATCTTAATAAAACTTTTTTGGTGGAGGGAGACAAAACCCATCTTCCCAAATAATCAAGAGGCAGGAGGTGGGGTGGGGTGGGGACGCTACCGTCATTCCTACTTCACAAACGGAGAGCCAAGACTCAGAGAGGGTCCGTCACCTCCTTAAGGTCACCTCCCTGCCGTGTGGCCAGTAGCCACTAAGCTGTGACCTGCTGTCACTCTGGAGCGGGTCCTTCACAGTCTGCACACCCGGAGCCCTGACATTTGGGGCAGCCCCTCCCTGCTTCTTGTACTCTGAGTCTGTTGTCTGCCAGTCAGTCCGTTCCTGCTCTGCTTCCCAGCCTGGGTGGCAAACACCCAAGCTGACAGAATGGGTTGAGCAATGGAAAAGCAGGGGGGAGCCCTCCCCACCGCCCCCCATCCCGCCTGCTGCCCTTGATCTAAAACACTGTGAGGAGAGCCGCTGAGCGCCAAGAGCGCAACCCCCATTGGGTTGTGCCTTTCCCCACCGTGCATCTTGGATGAGTTTGATTTATGGCCCGTGTTTGAAGGGATTCTAAAACAATGCAGAGCTTCTGGTGGCCTGTCTGAAAACATGCTCACACACAGTCACCAAACCCAACTCTGAATCACCCTCCAGAGCCGGAGAGGGATCTTCAAAGTCCTGTCTTCTGGGTTTCCAGCAAGACACGATTGTGGGTTGGGTTGGGAACGAGTGCGGAAAAATTGACTGATTGTTATTTTCGAATGTGGCAATGGTTTTGAGGACAGTTTCATCATAAAGAGCCCCCTTTGTATTTTTATTCTCATTGTGTTGTCATTCCATGGGGGCTCATGTGAAGTCGGGCTTCTGATATCCTCAGGAGAGGCTGTGAGAACCTGGGCTTGCAGACGGATCGCCATCGGTCAGGGGCTATGTCCAGTCAGTGGATGGCTTGTGGGGACCAGGGGAGGGCAGGGGTGTGGGCCAGCTGCCTAGGGGATCAGGAGCAAGCATGGTTGTTGGGCCTTTCCCTCTGCCCATCCTACTTCCTCCACTGCCTCACAGGTGTGACAACCAGGCAATTGATCCCCTAATTCTCACGCAGCAGGGTCAAAGGGATAGACAAGCCATGGTACAGCCAGACGGTGGAATAATTCAGCAAAAAAAAAAAAAAAAAAAAAGAGCTACCAGGCCATGGCAAGGGACCTTGAGTGCATCTTGTTAAGTGAAAAGAAGTCAGTCTGAAAAGGTGACTTGCTGTGTGACTCCAACTATAGGACATTTTGGAAAAGGCAAAATACAGAGACAATGAGATTAGTGGTTACCGGGGCTTGAGGGCAGGGGAGCGATGAGAAGGGTGAGTAGGTGGCACACGGGATCGGTGGGGGGCAGCGAAGCTGCTCTGTATGATACTGTAAAGGTGCATGGATGTTATGAGACATTTGTCAAGACCCAAGGAATGGACACCACCAAGACTGAACCCTAAGGTACAGTGCAGACTCGAGTTAACAATGATGTATCAGGATCGGTTCATCAGTTGTAACCAATGTAGCTCACTATTGCAAGATGGTAATAATAGGGGAGCCTAGCTGGGGGGAGAAGGGGGTACATGGAAACTCTCTGTCCTTTCCGTTCAACTTTTTTTTTTAAAGATTTTATTTATTTATTTGAGAGAGAATGGAGAGAGAGAACATGAGCGGGGGGAGGGTCAGAGGGAGAAGCAGACTCCCCACTGAGCAGGGAGCCCGATGCGGGACTCGATCCCGGCACTCCGGGATCATGACCTGAGCCGAAGGCAGTCGTTTAACCAACTGAGGCACCCAGGCGCCCATCTGTTCAACTTTTCTAAAAACCTAAAACTGCTCTAGAAAAGTCTATTAATCAAAAAAAGAATCATATCTATACCCCAACCTTCCAATGGCATCCTTGGACATTTGAAATAAAATCCCAAGTCCTTGCCTTATCCTTACAGAAGCTGACATGGTCTGTACCTGTCCACCTGTCTGACCTCCTCTCCCGCCAACTCAGGTTTGCTGGCTTTAGTCTCGTCATGCTGACCTCCGTTATGCCCCTGAGCAGGTCGAACTCTCCACCACCTCAGGGAATTTGCACACATGCCTTCTGTCTCCTATGACTACTAGTCCCCATTTCCCAGGTTAAAGCTTTATGGCAAAAAACCTCCCCAATCACATCACCTAAAAGAAGTGTCTCCTGGAGATTTCTACCGCTGAGCCTTTCTGGCTTCATCCTCAATGGTTTTTGAAAGCTGTTACTATTTCCGTTATATGGTTACTTGTTTTATTTGGTTATTCATTGTTCTGCCATTCTCCCTCACTCAAAGGCAAGACAGGAAATGTCAATGAGGGCAGGACGTTTCATCTGTTTGGTTATTGATGGATCTCCTGTGCCTGGAATTATGTCTGGAACACAATAGACAGTTAATGACTGAATGAATGTACATTTACTGACACCTACTGTATTTGCTGGGGTTTAGTGTGTAAAAAAAAAAACACCATTTTAGGTCTTTAAAGCTGAAAGTGTTCTAAGGCATAGAATTAGGAATTTTGAAATTTGTAGAGGGGCCAACAAAAAAACCACCACGGATTCTTAATTTCCATCATGCCAGCCCACCTCACCCCATCCCTACACCTTGCCCCGTGAATCTCAGACACAGCCTGCCCCACAGTGCCTTCACTTCCCCAGCACACCCTGTCTGAATGGCCCCTGTACACCCAGCATGCCGGTTGAGCGTCAAGATGGACGGGCCGAGACTGGAGTCCCGACTCTAATGTTTACCGGCTGTATGACCAACCTCAGATTTTTTTATTTGTAAAAAGGAATAATCATGGGACTGACCCTCAGACCCTTGGGAAGATTACACAAAATAGTGTGCCAGGCAGGTTTCAGGGCAGTGAGCAGGAGAGATTGGGACCCTGCCCCCATGGGGGTGCCATCGGTGGTGAGGACGGGTGAATTAAGCTAATGAATGGAGCCCAGGGGCAGTGAGGGTAACCAGAGTGCGAGCAGGGTGGCAAGGGTGGTCAGGGAAGAAAGCGCCATGTGAGCTGAACCCGAATGGTGGGAGGGAAGGAGCCATGTGAAGATCTGGGGAGACTGTTCCAGGTGGAGGAACAGTGAATACAAAGTTTCTGAAGTGGAGACAGGTGGGAAAAAGAGCAGGGAAGCAGACGGGTAAAAAGGTGCCAAAATAGGCTAGCTCTCAGTAATTGCTGTTATTAGTAAGATTGAAACCGAGCAAAAGTGTCTTTTTTTTTTCACATTTTACTCCTCCTTCACTGTCCCTTCCAGCTCTCCTGTACCCACTAAGACTTATGGGTAATCTTACTTATCTATGATTCAGAAAAAGTCCTCATAATGTAATAACTAAGGCTCTGTGTTAGTCACCTATTGCTATATAACAAATCACCCCAAAACTTAGTGGCTTGGGTCAACAACTAATATTTAGGATCTCACACAGTTTTTCGGCGTTAAGAACTTGGTAGCAGCCTAGCTGGGTGGTCCTGGCTGAGAATCTGTCACACGGTCTCAGTCACGATGAGAGCCAGGGCTGCATCATCTGAAGGTTTGACTGGGGCTGAAGGAGGATCCGTTTTTCAGGCGGCACAGTCCCATGGCTGCCAAGTTGGTGTTGGCTCTTGGCCAGAGCCATCAGTTTCTCTCCATGGTGTCTCCATGGAGATGTTTGTGTGACCTCACAACATGGCAGCTGGTTTCTCCCAGAGCAAGTGATCCGAGAGAATAAGGTAAAGCCATAATGCCTCTTAGGACCTCGCCTTGGAAGTCACAAATTCCCACTGTATTCTACCCTGGTCACATAAGCCAGTTGTGAGGGGGACTATACAGGAAGCAAGGATCCCTGGGAGCCATCTTAGAGGCTGGCCACCTGAGCATTTCCCCCATCAGATGAACTGAGTTCATTTTCTCCCCACTGGGGTCAGAATCCATCAATAACTGGTCAGTGACAAAATCCTGAGTGGTGAAAGTCATGGCCTGTCTTTCAGTTTTGACCATTTTCCCCCTGTTTTTCTCATCTCAAACAGTTTTTCCTTGCATGGTGGGGACTTCACTGTTCAAATTCCACCCTCTGATATAACCTGAGAGATCATCGCACACTGATTTAGTCCCTGTGACAGAAATTTGTAACTAAAGTGAGAAGTGAAGGAAATTAATTTGTCTGGCAAAAGGCTATAAAGTAATTCTACTGCCAGACAGAGAATCTGCCATGGGAAAACAGATGGGAGTATCATGTAAATATAACTAATGCCAAGAAGAATTAGAAAAGGCAACTTGTAGTTCTTTAAATGATTTTCTAAAATATTTTTTTGTTGAGGCTACACAGAATGCCAAAACAAGTGAAGGGGTGTGAGGCATTCCGTCACCCCCATCTGCATGTGTAGACACAGCCAAAAACAAGGTGTGACTGTTGGAAATCATGTTTGGGACTCACTCAGTGGTTTCCCAATTGATGGGCATGGAAGGCAATTCATGGAACCCTGACAACTTGGGGTCCCCACGAACTGATGCTACTTTGCGTTGCAAGGTTCTGTGCAGGAAATCGGCCGACTTTCAGGTGACAGCCTTATCCTTGCTCTTTCAATACCTTTGCAGCATCCCACTAGAAGAAAAGGGCTTTGGGGTTATGACCGAAGGTAAACACAGTTTTAAAAACAGCAGCATCCACATTCATGAGGCTTTACAAGGGGCAAAGATGCCTTGGGTAATTAAGTTGGGTCCAGCATCAGTGTGTGCAAGAAAATATTCCTAAAATGCATCGTGTTTGTGATGTGTCATCATAAGAAGAGAGAAATGACTGAATTTTAGGAGCCTGTCCACCAAACACTGCAATGCACAGGAAGAGGTGATGATGATGAGATGTGGGCCAAGTTTGGAATATTTATCCTATTAATCTCCAGTAGGAGGTAACTCTCCATTTAACTCAGAAGGAGATGGTATGGGCTGGTCAGAGGTCCAACTTGAGTCAGGCCAGAGGGGCGGGGAGAGGGTGAGGAGGCCTCCTGGGAAACGGACGTTGAAGCAAAACATTAGGTGTGAGTCAGTGTACACAGGGGAAGGAGACAAGTCTTTTTTTCCCCATTACGGGGATGAGGACCTGGAAGTAGAAGCCGCACCCCAGTTCTGCCACCTGACGTCTTCCCGGGACAATCGTCACCATAATCCACAGCCTCCCCACCCCCCATATCACCAAGTCGCATACGTCAGAAAACAAGCTCCAGGTAAAAGTGATAACGGGCAATGTGCTGGGTACCTGATACTGAATCCTGAGATTGTGCGCATAACCCTAGTAACAACGACAATACATAACTGACATCTGAGCCCAGGCTCTGCCAAGCACCTGGACTCCCTCATCACGGCCTCACCACTGCACGCAGCAGCTATATCATGTTCCCATCTTACAGATGCGGAAACTGAGGCCCCAAAAAGCTAAGTAAAGCTAAGTAAGCAGCTTGTCCACGTTCGCATCAGCCGTAAGTGGTAGAGCTGGGACATTGATTGAGAAGAGGGACTGACTGCGAAGCTCACGGAGCCCTGCCTTTTCACTGTCTGGCTTCAGTAAGTCTCGATACGGGATCCTCCAGGGAGGTTACCCATCCTGGCTGCCTGAGGAAAACTCCTTTAAAGAGGCACCTGCAGCAACTGGCTGGGAGTAGCTTCAGTCAACAGCTTTGGTGGGTAGTTTGGCAACTTCTGTTTCTGCATCGACAGATCTCTGCAGATGTCTAGAGAATACTTTTCCCTAGACCCAGCCATAGCACCCTTCAGATGTCCCCAGAAGCAGGCGCGACAATGAAACATGCAAGGTTATTCATGGTAGCATGGCTTTTAACAGCAAGCGGATAGGAACAACCCAAATGTCCATTAGTGTGCTGAAATTAGGTCACGATAATGGCATCTGCACAGTGCCGTGCTGTGCTGTTCTAAAAAAGAACGGACGCGTTCTCTCTGCGCTGATGGGAAAGACTGCAGATGTATCAAGCACAAGAGCAAGGCGCAGAGTGGTGTGGATGAGCCGCGGCCCTTTGGACCACGGGAAGAGAGAATCAAGGCGCGGAGTGGTGTGGATGAGCCCTTTGGACCACGGGAAGAGAGAATACAAACGCACAGATCTGTAAGAAACAGAAGCCATCTCAAGAGGCTTGTCCTAGAACTCAGTCACAGGGTTGGTTTGTCTCCGGGGAAGGGAGCGGAGACCCTGGGGGGCTCAGGGCTGGCGAGGGACTGACATTTCCCCGTATAACCGTTTGTGCTGCGTTTGAGACTTTATTGTGCATACAGGAGCAGATATTTGTGCAGGTTTTTGTTGTTGTTGTTTCAAAAAGATAAAACACAGAAACAGCTCAGGAGACTAGGAGAGATGTTTCTTTAAACACTTCAGGTGTGGGTTTGCTGTGCCCCATTTCCGGAGGGGCTTCGGCCTTCATTTAGATCAAATGTCTGCTTTCCCTCCGATGTCCCTCCGATGTCCCTCCGAGGGCAGCTCGGCTTCCACTCTGGTGACCCGCGCATCCTCAGAGGCCGCCAGCTGCCAAAGCCACTGTGCTGAGCCACTGCGCGACCCTGGGGCGCCTCTGGGAAGGGCCGGTGCTCACTGCAGTGATGGTCCCTGCTGCACTGGTGTCCACGGTCATTAAAAAAAACGTCCCCACGGGCTGCTGCCCTCCCGACCTGCCGTGGTCTGTGCAGACGGTGAGCACAGGGCTCTTGCTCAGCATGACACCCCAATTTGGGACAGCCTCTAACAGCCCCAGGCTGGCTGCCCGCGTCCTTTGCAGCCGACCTCCCCCTCCTCTGCGTTGCTGTTCTCTTGGGCAGGCTTTGGGTGGGAGAGCAACAGTACGACTGCCAGGAAAAACGCCCCCCCCCCCCCCCCCACCGTCAGCACTGATACTCACGGGGCCACAGCTCTGGATGGAGGGTGTCCAGGAACTGGCCTCGCCGCCAAGACCCCGGAGCGCGGACCCCTCTGTGCCCCGCTCAGCTTCATCTCGTTTGGCCCCATTCCCCTGTTCATGTTTCAGGACTCAGCAAGAATGACAAAGGTGTGCAATGTGCTGAGAGCTTTGCATACATTCTCTCTACGTACCTATGAAATGACGGGACAGGTAGGTTGTCCCAAACCCGTGCGTGCCACCTGGAAACCGAAAGTGCCAAGAAAGCAGAAAACGTGGCCAAATCCCTACAGAGGAGAGTTGAGGGGTGGAGTCAGGGTTCAGAGCTAGTCTCCCAGGTCACCACCCCACTCCTGGGCTCACAGGACACATCACTCACGGTCCAAGGACACTCTCCTCTCAGCCCGGAGGGACCCTCAAAACCCAGGAGAAAATTCTAGGCACCAATCAATAAGCCCTGAGGCTCCGTGAGGGCAGGGACCCAGTGTGGTTCAAGGCAACGCTGGGTCCCCGGCACCTACCGCGGTGTGGGGCACTCGGTAACACTTCACAGAAGGCAGGGCGCGAGGGAAGGAGGTCCTGTGGCAGAGAAGGTACTGGTTACTGCAGCCCAGCGAGCCCACGGCTGTTGTCAGAGACTGGCCCTCCCCAGTGAAGCAGGAGCAGGGGTGAGAAGTGTCACTTTGGGGCGCAGGCTTCCAAGCGGGTGGCTCTCTCTCACCTTCTTCTACTTGCTGCATGCAGAGGGCAGCATCTCCCTCGGGGACTGGGGGCCCAGGGGGGGGTCCCGGGGGGCCCCCGGGGCCCCCCCCCCCCCCCCCGTCCAGGAGAGCCACCCTCCCTCGGGAGTTACCACCCTGGGTGTTCCATGCCCAAGAAGTCAAGGAAGGGAGGGGAGGGGAGGGAGTGACTGTGCCCTGGGATGGCGCAGGGGGGCCGGCCACTTGCTGGATACTGTGAGCACGCCACCTTGGATAGCCCCCAGGGAGGGCCTCTTGGGGCTTCTGTCCTATGGTACAGATGCCCAAATAGATAGTGAGGCTTCGAAGGATGGAGGAATGTGTCCAAGGGCCCAGATGTTGGAAGTGGCAGAGTACAAGTTGGCGCGGAGGCCGCTGTGACTCCAGAGCTCCCACCCCGGGGCCGCGGGGTCCTGCCTGCCCTGCGCGGCCGGGCTGCCCCGATGCAGGAGAGCAGAGAAGGGTCGTGCGTCCCTCTCTTGGCACCTCAACATTTGCTTGCAGGAATCCGCCTGGCCTGTGTCTCCAGGTGCGGCCCAGCCAGGAGAGCAGCCGGTCTGGCCGGGGACCCCGCCCAGGGGTGCAGACAGGGCGCGGCGCGCGGGCCTCCCGCAGCAGGTCCTCAGCCGCGCTGCCCTGCAGGTCGGGCCGCTGCTGCTCTGACTCAGACGCTGCCCAGCCTCCTGGCTTGCTGAGTTTGCAAAATCAGCCCTCCTGAGCTGCTGCCTCCGTGCATCTGGGATGCCTGATTTTCTCCTGCTGGAGACAGGGGGGCTGTTTAAGTCCGTGCGAGAAATGCACTGGCCAGTCGGGTCCCCTCCAAACTTCGAAGTCTAGTGCTGAGAGAGGGCTCCGAGGTACTTAGGACTTAGTACTCCTGCTAAGCTGGCCTGCCTGAGCTTACGTCCCAGGGCCACCACAACCAGCGAAAAGGGCCTAGGGCAAGTCACTCACCCCTCCATGCCTGGAGATGATCACAGGCTCTTCCTCATAGAGGTTTTAGAA